CTCTCAGATTTCCTTAAAACGTAACTTTTATTGAAATATTTAAGAGAAGATCAGCGTTTCAGTCCCTCTTGTGGACTTTCGTCATGATCCTGATGCAAGTCCACAAGAGGGACTGAAACGTTGATCTTCTCTTAAATATTTCAATAAAAGTTACGTTTTAAGGAAATCTGAGAGTGCAGCCAACTATTTCAATTGCCTGGATACTGGAGCTCTGGTGATGCAATAGTATGTGTGTGTGTGTATATATAATATATATATATATATATATATATATATATATATATATATATATATATATATATGCAATTTAAATAGTTGGCTGCACTCTCGGATTTCCTGAAAATGCAACTTTTATTGAAATATTTAAGAGAAGATCAACGTTTCAGTCCCTCTTGTGGACTTTCGTCATGATCCTGATGCAAGTCCACAAGAGGGACTGAAACGTTGATCTTCTCTTAAATATTTCAATAAAAGTTACATTTTAAGGAAATCCGAGAGTGCAGCCAACTATTTCAATTGCCTATATATATATATATATATATATATATATATATATAAATAAAACACCCTACATAGCACAATGACTTATGGGGCTGGCATAGATTTTTTTTCCAGGGCTGCTTCGTATCCCCAGTCCGGCCCTGAAGCCAGACAATATCTTCTCTGTGTAAACAATGAGAGTTGTAGGTCAAGAACAAAACAAGCCAGCACTCTACACAAACTCAGCTCCAATAAGAAGCTCACGATTTTGTAATAAACTCAGGAGAGTCTGAGGAAAAGACAAAACCCTCCTGAGTTCCAATGAAGGCCAGGGTTTACTTTAGTCATATTAGCAGTTAGTGCATCCTATATCGTGTCCCATAGGAATAAACTCAGGGTTTTGGGGACTCGATGCCTACCTATACAATCCTTAATAATACGCGCACTAAAACAATAAAACCTGGGCACCATAGGCAATTATTGGTCTCCAATCTTAAATATCACAGGGACAGTCTAACCAAGCTTTGCTCCTCAGCCATGAATAATAATAATAATCACTGCCATGTTTGCTGGAATAAAAGCTAAGTAACTAGAGTTACACAGGCAATTGTAGATATAAACACACTGCAATCCATACTGAGCTGGGAATCATGGCTATAAACACACTGCAATCGATACTGAGCTGGGAATCATGTGAGTAGACAGCCACTAGAGGTGGAGTTAACCCTGCAAGTTAATTATTGCAGTTTATAAAAAACTGCAATAACTACACTTGCAGGGTTAAGGGTGATGGGAGTTGGCACCCAGACCATTCCAATGGGCAGAAGTGGTCTGGGTGCCTGGAGTGTCCCTTTAAGTGCTTTAGGAATCAGGAGTGTCTCTTTAAAGTCTATAGGCATTCCACTGCCCTGCTAAAGTCTATGAGCATTCCACTGACCTGTTAAAGTCTATGGGCATTATACTGCCCTGTTAAAGTCTATGGGCATTCCACTGCCCTGTTAAAGTCTATGGGCATTCCACTGCCATGTTACAGTCTATTGGCTTTCCACTGCCCTGTTAAACTCTATGGGCATCCCACTGCCCTGTTAAAGTATATGGGCATTCCTTATACTTCCATTATTGTCTTTGGGCATTCCACTGCCATGTTACAGTCTATGAGCATTCCACTGCCCTGCTACAGTCTATGGGCATCCCACCGCCATGTTACAGTCTATGGGCATCCCACCGCCATGTTACAGTCTATGGGCATTCCACCGCCCTGTTACAGTCTATGGGCATTCCACCGCCCTGTTACAGTCTATGGGTATCCCACCGCCCTGTTACAGTCTATGGGCATCCCACCGCCCTGTTACAGTCTATGGGCATCGCACCGCCCTGTTACAGTCTATGGGCATCGCACCGCCCTGTTACAGTCTATGGGTATCCCACCGCCCTGTTACAGTCTATGGGCATTGCACCGCCCTGTTACAGTCTATGGGCATCCCACCGCCCTGTTACAGTCTATGGGTATCCCACCGCCCTGTTACAGTCTATGGGTATCCCACCGCCCTGTTACAGTCTATGGGTATCCCACCGCCCTGTTACAGTCTATGGGCATCGCACTGCCATGTTACAGTCTATGGGCATCCCGCCTGTTGCAGTCTATGGGCATTGCGCCCTGTTACAGTCTATGGGCATCCCACGCCCCTGTTACAGTCTGTAGGCATCCACGCCCTGTTACAGTCTATAGGCATCCACCGCCCTGAAAGCCCACAGTCTATGGGTGGCCCACGCAGCCTATTCCACAGTCTATGGGCATGCTTTTGCAGCCTATTTACAGTCTATGGGCATCGCACCGCCCTGTTACAGTCTATGGGCATTGCACCGCCCTGTTACAGTCTATGGGTATCCCACCGCCCTGTTACAGTCTATGAGCATCGCACCGCCCTGTTACAGTCTATGGGCATCCCACCGCCTTGTTACAGTCTGTGAGCATCCCACCGCCCTGTTACAGTCTATGGGTATCCCACCGCCCTGTTACAGTCTATGGGCATTCCGCCGCCCTGTTACAGTCTATGGGCATCCCCCCGCCCTGTTACAGTCTATGGGTATCCCACCGCCCTGTTACAGTCTATGGGTATCCCACCGCCCTGTTACAGTCTATGGGCATCCCACCGCCCTGTTACAGTCTGTGAGCATCCCACCGCCCTGTTACAGTCTATGGGCATCCCACCGCCCTGTTACAGTCTATGGGCATCCCACCGCCCTGTTACAGTCTATGGGCATCCCACCGCCCTGTTACAGTCTATGGGCATCCCACCGCCCTGTTACAGTCTATGGGCATCCCACCGCCCTGTTACAGTCTATGGGCATTGCACCGCCCCTATTTACAGTCTATAGGTATCCACCGCCCTGTACAGTCTATGGCTTATGCAGCACGCCCTGTTACAGTCTATAGGCATCCCACGCCTTATTTACGAGTCTGTGAGCATCCCACGCCCTGTTACAGTCTATGGGTATCCACGCCCTATTACAGTCTATGGGCATTCCGCCCGCCCTGTTACAGTCTAGGCATCCCAGCCCTGTTACAGTCTATGGGTATCCCACACGCTATTTACAGTCTATGTTATCCCACCCGCCCTGTCCCACAGTCTATGGGTATCCCACAGCCCTGTTACGATCTATGGGTACATCCCCACCCGCCCTATTACAGTCTATAGGTATCCACCGCCCTGTTACAGTCTATGGGTATCCATACGCCCCTGTTACAGTCTATGGGCATCCCACCGCCCTGTTACAGTCTATGGGCATCCCACCGCCCTGTTACAGTCTATGGGCATCCCACCGCCCTGTTACAGTCTATGGGCATCCCACCGCCCTGTTACAGTCTATGGGCATCCCACCGCCCTGTTACCGTCTATGGGCATCCCACCGCCCTGTTACCGTCTATGGGCATCCCACCGCCCTGTTACCGTCTATGGGCATCCCACCGCCCTGTTACCGTCTATGGGTATCCCACCGCCCTGTTACAGTCTATGGGCATTGCACCGCCCTGTTACAGTCTATGGGTATCCCACCGCCCTGTTACCGTCTATGGGCATCCCACCGCCCTGTTACAGTCTATGGGTATCCCACCGCCCTGTTACAGTCTATGGGCATCCCACCGCCCTGTTACAATCTATGGGCAGTCTTGTTACAGTCTATGGGCAGTCCTGTATGTCCCATTTTCCATAATATTCAGATACTGTTTGTAACACATAATGATAAGACCCTACCGGTCACCACAAGCAGCGCCGCGGGCACTGCACTCCCGGGTGTCCACACCGGTCACGGTACCGATCCTCCAGCCGCTGAGCTGTCACGGCTACACTTCCGGATTGGCCACGGGAGCCATGGTGACACTACGAGTGACGTCACGTCCGGTGCGCTCTGTAAACTCGCCCTGTGGAAACCCTGGCAGCGCGACGTTCGTTCCGGCTTTAGGGAGAATCATAGAACGTTCCATACAGTGAGCTAAACACTCATTGCCCATCACAGGCTGAGTGCAGCTAAAACCAAAACTGGCCTTTCTCAGTGTGACATATTAACAGAGTGTGGGAGCTATATATACATATTATATTTATTGCTTTAACCTTATCCTCTAAAATAAAATCCTTGGTGGAATGAAGTATGTGTGTTTGCAGTTTACCCTTTTCAGGTTCCATTTCCTTAAAACAAAAGATTAACATAACTTCCTCTGCTATTCTCCAGGTTTGTATGGAATTTCCAGTAATCAAACTCTACAATATGTGCAGAAAATGTCTCTGACTTACTATTACAAATCCTATTGTGTTCATCCAGAATGGGAGAGTTTCAGATGTCAGTCTGTTTAATAATCAAATGCGTTCAATTAAAATATAGAACAAAATACTGAGAGGGTATACGCTGACGTGTGTTTATGAGAAATTAATGGCAGTTTCTGGAGACATAAAACTACATATGTTCTTGCAGTGTACAGAAAATGTTGTGCATTCTTCAGTTTTGTCAATCGTGTTTCGGTGTGCATGTACAATAAATCTTATAATTTGTTTTGTATTTTTTTTCAAGAAAAAAAAAAAAATCTTATGTTATAAATTGGCAAACACCTTCTCATACTAGGTCACAAAGTTCAAAACATCTGTTGGAGTCTTGCTTATGTAAATGTATGCTTTGTGTATAGCAAACTTGGTGTAATCCTGCAACTTGCAAACGATGTCTTGTATCTTCAGGAACAGAATTAGGAGGCTCACAGAAACCAAAAGTTCCCACCACTTACCTGCCCTTACAATGTTACCAGAAAGCAGTAAGATTTCAAACGTATTTATAAATACAAAACACCACTGTAATCACATTTCTGACATACCACGCAGAAGCTGATTTATAATAAGAATCATTTATTGATATATTTATAGTTTTATTGGCACTGCCACTGAAACATTTCACAAGTGATCATCAGAAAACTTTACCCGAATAAATGTATTAAGCAGCAGGTATTCAGGCGCAGATTAACATAGACACCATTGTCAAAGTCCGTTAATGAGAGCACTTTGAATCCGCACGACAGATTCCGTTGTTCCCAGTGACAATATCATCTCTGCTACACTAGGGCCATGCTATGGGAAGAAAAACAGAATATGATCCAGCCTCGTTGTGGTAATATGGTTCAAGTACATCAACACAATAAATAACGCTGCTTTTCAGAAGTATATAAATATCCAGTGATGGTATTATCAGAGTACATATTGAGACCTCCCATCCAAACTGTAGCATTTGTGGAATGAAAAAGGAATATTTAGGGAAAAAAAGTAGGTTTTATTTTTTTTAATGTCATATTTCTTCTTATCATTTCCAACTGCTAGACTTAATAATTGGAGAAGAATGTATTCACATAAAGCAATTTATCTGTCTGTGTTTCTTGTATACTATGGGCATTCTCCCATGGGAAAGTATGAGACAGTTGTGTGAAGTCCTGGTGTTGGATTTTTTTTTCCTCAGAAACTGCTTTAATCCTACCAATTTGACTTTCCATTTATAATCCATCAACTAAATAAGAGACAAGCAATAGAAAATGTGTATAGTTTACTCAGCAGCAATAAAGAAGCGGCTGAACATTTTCAGTCCGTGATCTCGCATGCATTCTTATGGAAACATGATTTATTTTTAAATGTTACTGTTTAGGTTGTCAGAGTGATTGATTTAACCCCTTAAGGACCAAACTTCTGGAATAAAAGGGAATCATGACATGTCACACATGTCATGTGTCCTTAAGGGGTTAAAAATAAATAAATCTATATTTTACATTTTGAACAGTTGTCAATTTAGTGCTATATTAACAGTGTGAGTGAAGACATACCTGTTGGCCACTGAGTGTCATGCGGAGAAGTTTCATGGCAGCGCTGTACTTTGTGCCTTCCAACCGCTGCAAATGGCTTCTCAGTTTTTCATTTAACTCTTCCAAAGTAAAATCATTGTAGTGATCCTGCAGGAGTCTACATGTAAAACAATATGAGCTGTAAAACACTAACTACAGCGCCGCTAGTCAGTTCTCATGTTTAGTGAAGTGTATGTGACAGAATTCATCACAGAAAATGCAGACTGAATAGAGTAAAATATTCCAAAGGACAGAATGGACAGGGATGTGACCAGGTCAACAACCACGTGGATTGTTCACTAAACTCTCTAAACCATTATTTCCTGCTCACTTTGGCCTCAAATGTTAAATTTACTGGTTAATTCTGCCTTTGTGAATAACCCTGCAAGAGCACCATACATCTACCCTGCTACTGTTTAAATGTCTAATAAAGTGTCTGTCATTTGCATCAGGCCAGCGCTGGTGGTGTGCAGGACAATAGTACCAGCCATTCTCGGGATTTGTGCATAGGATGTCTGCAGCCAGCAGTAAAACCTCGGAAAACATGGCATTTAATTGTTTGTTCAGCCCCGTTTGGAATCACTATTAAATCAGTGTCCAGAGTTATACAGCTTTATCGCATTAATGATTAAACTCATATGAGAACACAACAACATGTACCAGAGAGTGCTAATTGTTTAAAGAATGAATGACTGTGTGGAAGCAGAAACATTTTCCCATTTGTAAACATGTAGGAAAAGACCTTTGAAGATTAACAGATCCAGTTATAACTGCATTAATAAATCTTATCAAGGTAAAGGGCTAATTGCTCCCTAAAAGCAGAGCAGCCCCAAAGAGCGGAAGGGTGAAGGACTGAGTTCTACACCACTTCCCCAGCCAGAGAAGAGTGGTTTCACCTAATGTGCAGGCAATAAATTGCCAAAACCAAATAGTTTGCAAGTTTGGCCGTAATACACACCGTACAGCTAGCACTCCAATCTCTGTTGCCTTATGTGACAGTCTCTGCAGATCTTCTTTAGGGACAGAGGGTCGGATCCACAGGTAGGAGTATTCAGGAGATATGAGGTCTGTCAGTCGGCACAGATGTCCCTAAAAGAAAGAAAAAATAAATAAATACAGCTTTATATATTTAAATGGTCTCAAACATTTATTGAAATACTAGTTATTTTAAATGGCACTGACAACATTTTCTGTCCGTAAGGCATTGCAAAACAATGATCTCATCAGGTTAAAGGACAATTATTGAAATAAATAAATCTGCTTAAAAGCTTACTCCAAGACCTGGAGACTTTATGTGCAACATTTAACTTTGAAACACTGTACATACAGAGTTCAACCCTTCACTGCAAGAGGTATAACTCCAACTGCTTTAGCAATATTGGGCCTTTATTTTTACAGTGCTGTTTTAGCAATAGTGAATTATTATAATAAAAACTGAAGCAGGTATATAAGTACTGCTCTCACATTTTGTACGGGGCTGGTGAATATGAATTCTAGGCTGGCTAATGGTAATATTGTGTATATTTCTATGCACAGAATGTCATTCACTATCGAAGAGCAGTCAGCTGATGCTAGCAGCCAATGAATGAGTAGCAGAATCGTCATCCGTTTTTTGTAATTCTGCTGAAGCCGGATATAAGTCACCCAGCACCAGAGGAGATCAGGAGCCTAGCAAGTGCCCAGATACGAAGGAAAACTTTGCAAAATAGTTTGCCCCGTTACCAGGAAATGGGGTCAGGATACTCCTGTCATCATAACCAGTACAGCTGGCTGTAATAGTTATGATGCTTGGAGAAACACTTTAACAGATAAGGGGGGGAAAAAATTATATATTTGTAACAACATGAGGTCTGAACCATTTTTAAAGTGATATAACACTACACAAACAATATGTGCAGACAGTGACACAATGACATGATTATGTTTATAAGTCAGGTAATTATCGTTATTAATTTTTAAATATTAATGATTTTATAAACAGTTTCAAAACATTCTGGCTATGTATTAACAAATAAACCTGAAGAAACAGAATTGTACGCTCCTTTGTGAAATAGAGTTTGTTGCATACCTTCCGGAGTAACAGAATTCTCTCTATGTATGTCTGGTCCAGCTCCAAATCCCGGTATGTTTCCTTTAACAAGGCTTGGAGCTGGGTAATTAACTTTATCCTGGTCTTGGGGTTTTCAATTGACTTGGTCAGGTGTATTCTGGGGGTCGAATGAAAGAAAACATATCTCAGAAGCACTCTGGTAATCACTTTATAATTACAAAAATTAATGTGGGAATTGGACATGTTGATTCTATAGCAGATCATCAGTATTTAGAATAGTAAAAAATGATGTTGGTGTCACAATGGCTTTATAACACAGGTTTAAGCGTTTCCACTTCTCTCCCGTTTTGAGACTCCTTCACACACAAACGTGGAAAGTGAGGCTTCACTATGGCTAATTGATATAATCCAAGATTTGTAGAGGCAGATAACAGCTCCTAATGCAACAGTTAAAGTATATAGTGACATGAAGAGCAAGCCTCCTCCTAGATGGCCTACAAATCACGGCTCTCCAAAAGATCTACACGGCATCCCACAACGTAACCAAGTAAAAATGATAGACTCAACATCATTGAGAGAACGGTCAGCCAACTGGGAATGCAACGTTGCCATTCCCAAACTCAGACGCAATCTGGAAGCTCTCTTTGTTAGTTGGGCCTTGATTTAATTTTTTGGGATAAACATTTAAAAATGATTTAATATTTTGACAAATGTGTGAATATATTAACTTTTTTTTAATCTATCTAAATATATTTCAATCATACATTTGGGGATATTAAAATAAATAATAATTTTAAAAGGTTATCCAAAAATAAGAATTGGAGGCATTAGTCTGGTAAGGTGGATACATTATTTTTACTTTGTTGTGATCGTCAACTGTACATACCATAACGCACCTGTAACCACATATATTTGGAACTGGCACAAGTGTTTGTTTTTTTATTTTAAATTTTATTTACAATTGATAAATATATTTTTACACTGCCCCTTTAGCAATAATGGATTATTATAATACTAACAGAAGTAGGTATCTGGGAGCGCTGCGCTCAGATTTTGTACAGGGTCCCTTAAGACCCCAGGTAAACCTTAAATGCCCATAGGATTCATTCTTATTTTGCTAAGATGTGTTCAACAATTGCACCCCAAGAAAAGTCATTACTCACACTAACCTATTAAAGTCATTGAGTTTATCCAGATCCAGTAGAGCGAAGTGAGTACTAGTTTTTTCTACTTCGTACTGCTCTATGAGTATATCCAAAGTACGGCCCATTTGATTTTCTACAAGAAATAAATTATTAATGGGTTTTGCTGAAGACATTTATTTATAAAAATAAAAAAACATTCCTCACTAATCAATTTTAACTATAGGAAAAATCCTTATAAGTTCATTTTAAATACATTATATAGATAATTTGTGGGGAAATGTAGTTCTTAAAGCTTGCTTAGTTAGTTTTAGAAACAGGAAGACTCTTCGGAGCATCTCATACTGGGGTCTGATCTTACACTGCTGCCCAGCACAAGACTTTTGGGATAAGTTGTTAATCACCCACCAGCATCACATAGGTTGAGTGGAGCTGCTACAGGAGCATGAACCCTCCAGTGAGACGGTTGTTCTAGTCCATATGCCACACTTACATGTTTGCAGGATCTCACATTCCTCATAGAGATGCATTGATTCAATGCATGTGTATAAGATGCCGATTGGAGCGCTGCATTTTCCCGCGTATACGCAATAGCATCTCAATGCTTTTCTATGGGAAAGCATTGGATTGGCTGAGATAGTTAAGTTTAATGATCTCAGCCAAGGAGGCGGGCCAGCCACGAGCAGACCCATGCAGAGCTGGAAAAAGGTGAGCAAAATCAGTTTTTACTTTCCTGACAGGTGGGCCAGGGGCCTAAATATTGCTTTCACAGCTATAGTGACAGGAATACATGTTTGTATTCCTGTCACTAGTGTTCCTTTAAAGAAGAGGGAAAGAAAAAAAAATACAACACATTTTAAAGGGACACCCCACTGTCCAAACACAAAATAAAATAATTAAAAATTAGACTTTAGTAGCTATAACCTCAATAAACATATATATGCATTTTTTCAATAGAAGTATAACGATAAACAGCTAACAAAAGTTGCAGATCTCTGCAGCCTTTGCAAGACCTTCCCCCGCTTCTTCCCCAGCAGAGACTTTCTGATTGTCCAATCACGGACTTCGCAATGGAGCTCAATGAGAAATCTTTGCAAGGCAGTTGCTATGGACTAATGAGCGAAACAACCAAGAAGTAACAGGATATGTTGTCTGATTGACAGCAAAGGGGGTGTAACAAGGAGACTTTATAAAAGTGCCAATTTCTATTGAAATCTATTGAAAATGGGAAAAAAACAGACACACTCTTCACACACGAAGCAATTCAACAAGCTAAAGTTATTTAGGAGTCTGGGGTGTCCCTTTAAGGTTGTAGCAGCTCTGTCAAGTTTGTTCTTTGAGCACAATCATTCTTTTTTAAATCAATAAACCATATTCCATGAGAAACTGTCAAGGGGCCAGACCATGTTTAACTGATTACTGTAGCCATAAATAAATAAAGCAAATAATCATTCCTATGGCAGCCTGGCCCTAATTTTCTACACCACAGAGCATGGACGGTGTCCCATAAGAAATCACTGATGGATCCAGTTGACATAGAGGAGCATCTGAAGCGTGGACTGTTGTATGCACATGCGGACTGCCTTACTGAGTTTTCAAATTTAGTAACAATAAAAATTCCAGAAAATGTGGCTTTAGTTACACTTTCCAAATAAAATGAAATTCGATCATTTCACGTGTATAGTGCAGTTCTCTAACTCAGTTTTTTGCCCTCTCCAGAACATGGCAATATTTTATTTTTTTCCACGGGCTTGTCTTGCATTTTAGGGTTGTGCAGGTAAAAAATATCTGTTGCAACTGAGCATTAAAAACTTCATTTCCAAAATGAAATAAAACAGAAATTAAGGGTTCTAAAGTCAATTCACAAACACAGCATCAAAAAGATAAATCCCACCAGCCAGCGTCTTGGGTGACAATCGACCCTTTTTTGTATTGGCAAAATTAGTCTTTTTTATGCTGTTTTTTGGTTTTTAGTATGCTAAGGGGCGAATTAACGAGGGCTTATGACTTTACAATGGACAGTGCGTTTTTACTGCTCAGTTGCAATAAATATGTTTATCTGCACAGTACTTTTTATAGAGAGGAAGGACACTCCTAGTATGAGCACTATGTTAATACTGAATACTGTGAGGCAATTCTATTAAACAGCCCAATGAATAATGTTGAATTTGTGGGAAGAGGTGCTATGTTCACACTGATCTTTGCTTTTTAGGTTTTCATATCAGGGTTACCAGGAAATCCAGATCCACAGTTCGTGATGAGATCCAACAGGGCATCGGCCAGGTATCCACATTGAGCATAGTGCTGAATAAAAATGTCTCCTTGCCGCTTGGACAGTTTACTGCCATCTTTGTTGAGTAAGAGAGGAAGATGGGCATATGATGGCGGTTGCCAGTTGAAGGCCTTGTAAAGCTGCAAGTGTTTGGATGTTGAGATGAGCCATTCTGCTCCTCGCAGTACATGACTCACTCCCATGTTGTGATCGTCCACCACATTGGCCATGTGGTACGTGGGGAATCCATCCCCTTTTATAATCACAGGGTCCCCTTCCACACTTGCCACATCGTGCTGAGTCCATCCATAAACTAGATCCCTGAAAGGTTGGGTGCCTTCTTGTAAACTAAATCGGATCACATAAGGGGAACCACTTGACAATTTTTCCTGCACTTGCTTTGTTGTGAGGTGCCGGCAACGGTTATCATATCTTGCAGCAGAAAGAGAGAGAAAAAAAAAAGAAGTAGATTAGAAATGGGAGCAATGTAAAAGGAACAAACCTATACTCCTAACACTTTAAAGGGACACTAAAGTTCCCTAAACAACTTTAGCTTAATGAAGCAGTTTTAGTGTATAGATCATGCCTCTCAAGTTTCACTGCTCAATTCACTGCCATTTAGGAGTCAAATCACTTTGTTTCTGGTATGCAGCCCTTGCCAAACCTCCCCTGGCTATGATTGACAGAGCCTGCATTTAAAAAAAAAAAAAAGGTTTCACTTTCAATCAGATGTAATTTACCTTAAACAATTGTATCTCTTGCTCTGTAAATTGAACTTTAAATCACATACAGGAGGCAGGGTCTAGCACGCTATTAACATAGCAGGAGATAAGAAAATCTAAATTAAACAGAACTTGTAATAAAAGGATAAACTTTAGATGACTCTTTACAGGAAGTGTTTATGGAAGGCTGTGCAAGTCACATGCAGGGAGGTGTGACTAGGGTTCATAAACAATGGGATTTAACTCCTAAATGGCAGAGAATTGAGCAGTGAGACTGAAGGACACGATTTATACACCAAAACGGCTTCATTAAGCTAAAGCTATAGTGACTATAGTGTCCCTTTAACGCATTAGTCCCTATTTAGATTAGACCCCTGCCAATAGCAATAAATAAAAGGTTTAGTTTTTTTACTAACCTTTCTTCCAGCGCCAAGACTCCCTCAGTGCTGCTGCCATTCTGGTTCAAACAACGTTATACAGCAGGCATTGCTTTATTGGCGATGGTCCAATCCATTGCCACTCAGAGGACAGCGCTCACCCAATGAAATGCTTCTCAATGTGAGCTGCATTTGGTCACATGACCACATTTCATTTTATCATCTGCGGAAACGTCTTTAGTGGCTGTCAGGAAGACAGTCACTAGAGGTGGATTTAACCCTGCAATGTAAACATTATTGCATATGCAAACCGTCAATGTTGTATTATGCAAGGTTATAACAACAGGGCCACAACACGCAGACTTCATTGAGAAATAGAGATTTCATCAACTAGGTCTGTGATTCTGCTAATTTACCTAATAAAGTACTAACGTATGTACAGGGGGGCATTCTAAGCTTCACAATTCTACCTCACGTAACAGTGGTTATGATGCTCGCAGACTTCAGGCACCATCTCGCTGTTTTGTCAGCTCATGTGCTCAGCCTACCAATGCCAACCAAAAATGAACAAAATTCACATTACCAATATGGAAGTAGAATTTCCGCATTAGCAAGATGGTCAGTGAAGGCCAGCCCTTGGGTGCGTTAGAGACCCTGGTTCTGGCCAAAAGTCTCAAAAACAGTTTGACGCAAAGTCAGAGGATGTCACCTGTAGCTTACATGGACCATAATAATTAAAAAACGGATGCAGTGGTTATGGTACATTAACTGCCCCTTTCAACTTGGCAGGTATTGCTTTATGTCATTCAAAAATTCTTCCTTCAACATTGACAACCAGCATAATCTACCAGATTCTTTATCCCTGTGGGATTAAATTGGACTTTACTGTGTTTTCTTAATTTATCAACCAGTACCATATCTACATATCTGGTCATACCGAGGGGTCTGTCTGTTTCTGAGAGCATCTTTCTTAAGCAGCTCTAGTCTCTGTGGTGTGCAAAAACAGCGATAGGCCATTCCACTCTCAAGCAAAGTCTGTGCCGCATTCTGATACAGATCCAAGCGTTTAGATTGTTCATATGGGCCGCATGATCCTCCTTGCCTCGGGCTCTCATCTGGTGGGATCCCTGGATTACACAGATAAACCTACTAGTTATATTATATAGGACAACATTACAAGAAAAACTCACCACTCCAAAAAGCCAGGCAATAAAGTAAAGCTAAAAGAAAAACAAAGACGAGACTAACTCCCAAAAATCGAGATCTCTAATTAAAATAATCCATACAAATATCATAACACAAACCAAAAATTACAAAAGTGTGACATGTTTTAAATAAATACTTAGAACTTCCCTGCTAATCTTCCCATCATAATTGGAAATCCTATAAAGGGTTAAGTGTTAGGTGACTTTATTAAACACTGGCCAATTTATTACCCTAAATAAGTATAAAAAGACACACCTAGGTAGAGTGTAGTGCCCACATGGGATCTGCCAGGTACCGAGTAAGCCATACTGAGTTAATTGGCTGAGAGCGTCAATACGTATTAATGTTTATGGGGCTTAGAGTGTTCCTTTAAATGTTATAGAAATATATTTAAATATGTTGATACTGGCCTGAGAAATAGCACATGAAAAATATGTTCTCTGCAACTCCATCTTCTCCCTAATAAGTTATCCATCATTTAGCAAACTGTGCCTACCTGGCCGTTTACTACAGATTTGTGTTTATGAAGCCAACTTCAGCCTTTCACAGAGCAGCAAGCAGTATACCACTATTATTATTGCCATTTATATAGCGTCAACAGATTTACAATATTATGAGGGGGGGGAGGGAGGGGGGAACTATAAATAGGATAATTACAAGAAAACTTACAGAAACGATAAGTTGAAGAGGACCCTGCTCAAACGAGCTTACATTCTATAGGAGGTGGGGTATAAAACACAATAGGACAGGAAATAGCAATCAAATAAGGTGGGAGTAAGGCAGAGCTGGAGGAGAGAGTAGAGTGCAGCCCTTTAAGAGAGAGCAAGAGACAGGTATGTGAGGTAGAGGTTACTCTGGGAAGCCATAAAGAGATGGTTTTTAAGGCACTTCTTAAATGATTGAAGACTAGGGGAGAGTCTGATGGTAGGCAGGCTATTCCATGGGAAGGGAGCCTCCTGCGAGACGTCCTGCAAGAGTGAGTTGGCCGTACGGGTGCGAGCAGCGGGCAGGAGAAGGTCACGGGCAGAGCACTAGCTACACGCATCATAATTCTATATGTAGAATTAGAACTCCATATTGGATACAGATATATTTTCCATGGCCATAAATACCTGCCCATTCCAGCATGTCCTCAATGCTCTCGGCTGCTCCAGGCACTAGTCGACTTCTGTCTGTGTCTTCAAGACGAAGAATAAAGGTCCCGCCATGTTTCTTGGCAAACAGGTAGTTGTATAAGGCTGTACGTAAGCCGCCTAAGTGTAGAAAACCTAAGAAAAGAACAAATCGAGCATGTCATCAATTAGCTGTCTATTCAACATAGTTTATCATTTGGAGTGTTTATTGTATTTAATAAAATCTGTCTGTTTGATTAGGAAACTGAAATGTTGATAAATAGAGGTTTAATATTTCTACCGTGTGTGTGTGTTTTAAATCCTTAATTCTTCTATTAACTATTAGTTTAAGGCACTTTTATTGCAAAGTATGTAGGGTATAGATCTCCAATTAATAATAATAATCATACTTCTAGCTGTAACACAAGGTACAGATCTTTAAATTCATATACAATGAGGGCTATTTGTATTACGCAGGGAGCAGATATTAAAATGAATAGAATATAATAATATAATATATATTATAATAATATTAATAACATAATATAATATTATAAAATAATATAATAATAATATATCTAATAATATATAATTATATAATATAATAACATAATAATATAATATATAATAATATAATAACATAACATAATAATATATAAACACATATATAAAATAAATATTGAATATTATAGGACCCTACCAGTTGGGCTGGGAGCAAATCGGACACGAACTTCCTTCCCTGACACCCCTGAACAGCACCTTTTCCCCGGATTTTTTACCAGCTCCAGGACCCGAGACAGAGCTAATGCTCTGACCAGAGGCCTCATATCCCCGGGCTGGCGTGAGTGCCCTTGGCCGAGGAGGGGAGCTGCAGCACGGTCACACGTGCAGGAAGCGCCCGGCTAGCGAACGGCAAAGCATGACAGCCAGGCAGCCAATCAGCGACTAGTCACAGCTAAGCCCCGCCCACCCAAGGATTATTCTGCCTCTGTGTTAGTGCCAGAGTGCGCGCCCCCGCCCAGTATGCGCGCTCCCGCGGGTCTATATTCCTAGAGGAGTTGTCCATTTTAAGTGAAGTTTAATATGATTTGTGGATCCTTGCTATAAAAGTTCCTATACACTTTTACCCATAGTTATATTGGTCATTAGCAGGGTTATTCACAAAAAGTGCTATTTGTTGTGTATTTAAAGTGGAATTTCAAGACAAATAAAAAAAAAAATACTAATTTATTTTGGCCTACAATTGTAAATCCTCTTTGAATTCCCACCAGTTAATACCTCTGTGGGACTGACTGCGTATGAGTTGATAAAAGCCATTTAGAACGCAGTGCCTGATTTAGGGGGAACCTCCAGCCTTCAGTGAATTTCCATTAACGTCTGCACAGAGAGAGAAAATGGTGATGGACCTAAGGTGCGATTGTATTTTTACATTTATTGCTAAAAGCTGGGCTAACCCAAACCACTATAGACCGACACTGCTCCAAGACTCTACACCAGAATTACTAGACTGGGCTGTTGTTGCATACCTCCCAACATTTCATAATGGGTAATGAGAGACACTTTAATTTTAGGGGCGTGAGTAGTGCAGCTAAAATGTGAAATAGAACAAGAACAATGTATCTTATTTACACAGACTGATTTCTAAACACATGCTTTCTGCCTGGAGACGCGGAACTTTCCCCATAGAGATGCATTAATTCAATGTGTCTTTATGAGGAGTTGCTGATTGAGGCACAGTGGCATTTTGCCGCGCATTCACAATAGCCTCCCGATGCTTTTCTATGGGAAAGCATTGGATTGGCTGAGATTATCAATTTTGATGATCTCAGACAAGGAGACGGATCAGGGGTGGAGCCAGCACTGGCGGGCCTACACAGCACTTAAATAAAATAAAATAGTTGACAGGAGGGCCAGGGGCCTAGACATTGCTCTCACAGCTATGGTGACAGGAATACATGTTTGTATTCCTGTCACTATAGTTTTCCTTTAAGTGTTTCAACAAGGGTATACACCTTATAGCAAAAAGAAAGAATGAGAACAGACAAAATCTTAGAGAGACTTAATAGCTTGTCCTTCGGTACATCCCCGCTCAGGTCTCAAAATAGTTTTTGCTCACTTGTGCCATTACAGAGAGAACATATCTGAAGCATATGAGACTGGTCCCACCCGTACGGGCAGTCCACATCCGAAATGCCAGCATGTTCCCTCTGCACGAGGGAACCTAATAGGAACTACATGACAAAAATACAGCACATTCAGAAAGTATTTAGACCCCGATCTGACCTTCATGGCAGGCTGGCTAGAAGGAAGCCTCTACTCACTGCAAGACACATGGAAGCTCATTTGGAATTTGGAAATAAAACACTTAAAATACTCTCAATGAGATAAAATAGTTATAGTGCATTTAAATAGTCACTCTAAGCAACAGTATAGTTTTCCATATTTGCAAATATAATTCTGCCCATAACAGCCTTGATGCCGCACAGCTGCCGACAACTATCAACTCTACACTAACACTGATTAAGCTGCCTAAGTGGGGGACGGGGATACACAGACTATCTCCTTCAAGCTGAGGGTTTGGATCTGATCTCCCTCATCCTTCCCCTTTACCATCTTAACCCCCATTCCTGTGTCTTTTTTCTTGTTTTCTTCTTACATGCTTCTTCTTTGTTCTTTTTTCATCTTGCCCTCTATTTTTTCTTTCTATTTCTTTTGTGGCTCTCCTTTACTCCCTGACTTCATATTTCCCATTGCAGCTGCATAGTTTACTTTTAAGGAACAACATAATGTCAAGAATGCAAACCTGTATTCCCAACACTGTCGGTCTATATAGCTGTTAAGCCACCTGGCAAAAAAAAATAAAAGGCGATTTTCCTGCGCGTCTGCCGCGGCTGGCCTAGCCCTCTTGGCTGAGATCGGTCCGACAGGAAAGCATTGGGAGGCTATCGGCATGCGCGGCAAAAGGTTGCTCTGTGCCAGTCAACATCTTCTCCATGCAGAATGTGAAGATGCTGAATGTTAGTGCTGCATGTTGTGAGGCACTGACCCAAGGAGCACCTCTAGTGGCCGTCTGCGTGACTGCACCTAGAGGTGTTATTAGGCAGTAATGTAAAAACTGCCTTTTCTCTGAAAAGCCAGTGTTTACATTAAAAAAGACCTGCAGGGACAGACAGTAAGTACCAAAACAACTACACTAAGCTTTAGTTGCTCTAGTGACTATAGTGTCCCTTTAACTGGTCCCTGGTACACAGACCTTTAGCTTCTTGTCAAATCTTTCGGTCTGTGGGAATTTACCTAGCTGTCTTAAATGTCTATCTTCTTTGGGTTTATACCTATTGAATATCTTGCCTTTAGTTGGCACTTTGTCCTGCAATGTGCTTTGGCCATTCGTGCATACTATTGAGTACCACTTCATTCTCTTGAATAAAATTTTAATTATAAAAGTAAAGTAAACAGAAGCATTGGAAAGCAAAAAACCCCCCCAAAAAACAGATATTAGTGTAAAATGTAATGTAGAAAAGAACATTGTTCTTGTTGTACATTACATTTTAGTTGCATAAATTATCACACCCCTAAAAGGAAAATATCCCTCAATTTGCCTTTGAAATCTTGGGAGGAAAGCAGATACAGAAATGCTATGATATTGTTCTATATGTATATATTATGTACGAGTATTATTTAAGTATATTGTCACATTGCTACCAAAGGTCATATCACTATAAATGTATTCATATAGTGACTGACAGGGAATCCCCACCCGCCTATAGTAATTTGAGACAGCTCGAGGCAGTTTTTATAAGACTGCTTGATTCTGAATCTCTAGGGTGGAAAAAGTCCCTAAAATGTTGTCCCGTGTCTCCTATTGGCGAATAAAAGTCACAAAAATCCCAGCGTGTCTGGGAGATCATTTACTTTAATCGATACCGTGGCTTGCGACAGACCTGGACCTGAAAACCACCCGAGGTAATAATAATGGGCTAATGGGAATCTTCCCTCTGAAAGCGTGCAATTCATATTATTGATATATAGAGTTAAAGGGACACTCCAGGCACCCAGACCACTTCTGCCCATTGGAGTGGTCTGGGTGCCAACTCCCACTACCCTTAATCCTGCAACTGTAATTATTGCAGTTTTTTATAAACTGCAATAATTACCTTGCAGGGTTAACTCCACCTTTAGTGGCTGTCTACTAGACAGCCACTAGAGGGCACTTTCTGGTCCATAGCACAGGTTTGTGCTATAGCGTCGCTGGACGTCGTCATGCTGTGTGAGGACCTCCAACGTTGCTAAAATCCCCATAGGAGAGCATTGAAAAGCATTTTCAAAGCTTTCCTATGGAGAGGTCTAATGCGCGTGCGCGGCATTGCAGCGCATGCGCATTCGGTCTCACCAGCCGTCGGGTGTGATCAGTCTCCCCCGCCGGCTGACGTAATGAAGGGGAGGAGCAGCGGCGCACCAAGAAGCAGCGACGAGGGACATCGTCGCTTCCTTTGGGAAGTGACTGGAGGGGTTTTTACTCCTTCAGCAACCGGGGATGGGAGGTGGGAGGGAGAGGGGACCTGCAATGCCAGGAAAACAGATTGTTTTCCTGGCACTGGAGAGTCCCTTTAAGGATTTACATGTTTACTTACTAAAGGGAGGATTTTCAGGAATTCAGCTAGGAAGTCAGCTATGTTTCCAGTTTAGCATTGGGCCTAAATGTTTTTAAATTCACATTGTCATCCTGATTATTCACACTTTGGTGAATAACTCTGTAAAAAGTAAATTGTGAAGATTGGATATTCATAAAACCTATTAACAAAAAGATTTTTGAAGACAAACAAGGTAATTCACTAACATAAGAACTCAAGGTGATTTTCAAAGTAAAATTCACGTTTAAGATCAATATAGACAAACTGGAAAAAATGTTTAAAGGGATCCGATAGTGCCAGGAAAATAAACCAGTCAGCTCCCGACTGGAGCTGAATGTGCATGCGCGGCCAGAGGCACAAGCGCGCATTCAAATCAGCCCATAGGAAAGCATTTCAGTGCGATTTTCTCACTGAGAACCGTGGAAGCGGCCTCTCGTGGCTGTCAGGGAGACAGCCACTAGAGGCTGGATTAACCCTGCAATGTAAACATAGCAGTTTCTCTGAAACTGCTATGTTTTTAGCTGCAGGGTTAAAACTAGGGGGACCTGGCACTCAGACTACGTCATTGAGCTGAAGTGGTCTGGGTGCCTATAGTGGTCCTTTAAGTCATCTATGCTTTCAGTTAGACTACGTTGGCCTTAAAGTTGAAATTCACTTTGGTATAGAATATTTGATACAGTACTAACCTCAACATCTGAGGAAAGGGATTTAGGAGTAATTATTTCAGATGACTTAAAGGTAGGCAGACATTGTAATAGAGCAGCCGGAAATGCGAGCAGAAAAGTATATTTTAACGGTAGTAGATTATGCTGCCAGATATCCTGAGGCAGTGGCCCTAACTAATGTGCACGCCGAGACCATGGCGAATGCCCTCATCTGAATCTTTTCCCGCATGGGGTTTCCCCAGGAGATTATTTTGGATAGCGGTACCCAATTCACGGCAGAGGTTACTCACCAGTTGTGGAGAGTGTGTGGGGTGAAGCCTTATACGGAGTGTAGTGTAATGAACCATCACAGCCAGGCTCAGCACTGATACGGAGTATGGTGTAATGACCCATCACAGCCAGGCTCAGCACTCACAGCCAGGCCTGTCCTGATACTGAGTATCGTGTAATGAACCATCACAGCCAGGCTCAGCACTCACAGCCAGACTCAGCACTGATACCGAGTATGGTGTAATGACCCATCACAGCCAGGCTCAGCACTGATACCGAGTATGGTGTAATGACCCATCACAGCCAGGCTCAGCACTCACAGCCAGGCCTGTCCTGATACCGAGTATGGTGTAATGAACCATCACATCCAGGCTCAGCACTCACAGCCAGGCTCAGCACTGATACCGAATTCACGGCAGAGGTTACTCACCAGTTGTGGAGAGTGTGTGGGGTGAAGCCTTATACGGAGTGTAGTGTAATGAACCATCACAGCCAGGCTCAGCACTGATACGGAGTATGGTGTAATGACCCATCACAGCCAGGCTCAGCACTCACAGCCAGGCCTGTCCTGATACCGAGTATGGTGTAATGAACCATCACATCCAGGCTCAGCACTCACAGCCAGGCTCAGCACTGATACCGAGTATGGTGTAATGACCCATCACAGCCAGGCTCAGCACCGACACCGAGTATGGTGTAATGACCCACCACAGCCAGGCTCAGCACCGATACCGAGTATGGTGTAATGACCCACCACAGCCAGGCTCAGCACCGATACCGAGTATGGTGTAATGACCCATCACAGCCAGGCTCAGCACCGATACCGAGTATGGTGTAATGACCCATCACAGCCAGGCTCAGCACCGACACCGAGTATGGTGTAATGACCCATCACAGCCAGGCTCAGCACCGATACCGAGTATGGTGTAATGACCCATCACAGCCAGGCTCAGCACCGATACCGAGTATGGTGTAATGAACCATCACAGCCAGGCTCAGCACCGATACCGAGTATGGTGTAATGACCCATCACAGCCAGGCTCAGCACCGATACAGAGTATGGTGTAATGACCCATCACAGCCAGGCTCAGCACCGATACGAGTATGATGTAATGACCCATCACAGCCAGGCTCAGCACTGATACCGAGTATGGTGTAATGACCCATCAGCCAGGCTCAGCACCGATACCGAGTATGGTGTAATGACCCATCACAGCCAGGCTCGCACCGATACCGAGTATGGTGTAATGACCCATCACAGCCAGGCTCAGCACCGATACCGAGTATGGTGTAATGACCCATCACAGCCAGGCTCAGCACCGATACCGAGTATGGTGTAATGACCCATCACAGCCAGGCTCAGCACCGATACCGAGTATGGTGTAATGACCCATCACAGCCAGGCTCAGCACCGATACCGAGTATGGTGTAATGACCCATCACAGCCAGGCTCAGCACCGATACCGAGTATGGTGTAATGACCCATCACAGCCAGGCTCAGCACCGATACAGAGTATGGTGTAATGACCCATCACAGCCAGGCTCAGCACCGATACAGAGTATGATGTAATGACCCATCACAGCCAGGCTCAGCACCGATACCGAGTATGGTGTAATGACCCATCACAGCCAGGCTCAGCACCGATACCGAGTATGGTGTAATGACCCATCACAGCCAGGCTCAGCACCGACACCGAGTATGGTGTAATGACCCATCCACAGCCAGGCTCAGCACCGATACCGAGTATGGTGTAATGACCCACCACAGCCAGGCTCAGCACCGATACCGAGTATGGTGTAATGACCCATCACAGCCAGGCTCAGCACTGATACAGAGTATGGTGTAATGACCCATCGCAGCCAGGCTCAGCACCGATACCGAGTATGGTGTAATGACCCATCACAGCCAGGCTCAGCACTGATACAGAGTATGGTGTAATGACCCATCGCAGCCAGGCTCAGCACTGATACAGAGTATGGTGTAATGACCCATCGCAGCCAGGCTCAGCACTGATACCGAGTATGGTGTAATGACCCATCACAGCCAGGCTCAGCACCGATACCGAGTATGGTGTAATGACCCACCACAGCCAGGCTCAGCACCGACACCGAGTATGGTGTAATGACCCATCACAGCCAGGCTCAGCACTGATACAGAGTATGGTGTAATGACCCATCACAGCCAGGCTCAGCACCGATACCGAGTATGGTGTAATGACCCATCACAGCCAGGCTCAGCACTGACACCGAGTATGGTGTAATGACCCATCACAGCCAGGCTCAGCACTGATACAGAGTATGGTGTAATGACCCATCACAGCCAGGCTCAGCACCGATACCGAGTATGGTGTAATGACCAATCACAGCCAGGCTCAGCACCGATACCGAGTATGGTGTAATGACCCATCACAGCCAGGCTCAGCACCGATACCGAGTATGGTGTAATGACCCATCACAGCCAGGCTCAGCACCGATACCGAGTATGGTGTAATGACCCACCACAGCCAGGCTCAGCACTGATACCGAGTATGGTGTAATGACCCACCACAGCCAGGCTCAGCACTGATACAGAGTATGGTGTAATGACCCACCACAGCCAGGCTCAGCACTGATACAGAGTATGGTGTAATGACCCATCACAGCCAGGCTCAGCACTGATACCGAGTATGGTGTAATGACCCATCACAGCCAGGCTCAGCACCGACACCGAGTATGGTGTAATGACCCACCACAGCCAGGCTCAGCACCGATACCGAGTATGGTGTAATGACCCATCACAGCCAGGCTCAGCACTGATACAGAGTATGGTGTAATGACCCATCACAGCCAGGCTCAGCACCGATACCGAGTATGGTGTAATGACCCATCACAGCCAGGCTCAGCACCGATACCGAGTATGGTGTAATGACCCATCACAGCCAGGCTCAGCACTGATACCGAGTACGGTGTAATGACCCATCACAGCCAGGCTCAGCACTCACAGCCAGGCTCAGCACTGATACCGAGTATGGTGTAATGACCCATCACAGCCAGGCTCAGTACTGATACCGAGTATGGTGTAATGACCCACCACAGCCAGGCTCAGCACTGATACCGAGTATGGTGTAATGACCCATCACAGCCAGGCTCAGCACCGATACCGAGTATGGTGTAATGACCCATCACAGCCAG